ATCAGGTATGAACGTTTACTATGACAACAGGTTTTAACGTAATTGATTTAAAAGCATTATTGAAAATATTCTTTTACGTATCCGTCTTAATTTTTGAACTTAAATTTAAATTTAAATTAATGTTAAAATATTTTATCTACATTTATACATACATATAAATATATGTATTTATTGTGACGAGTTAATACGGATAAATTTTTAACATTGGAATGAGAAATAATGTACATTTTCTCTTTATTTCCTAATTCGGTGATTATATTTATTAAAAATACTTTATTAAGTTTCATTCTCAGCGCAGCTGTCAAAAGTATTCTTATTATGTAAGAATTACTTTAATTCTTGTGTACCTTTATTACAAATATGTAATTAGGAATATATTATATATCAAATAATATTTAATGAACGATGATCTACTTATTTTACGTTTTGATTCATATTTAGAAATATGTATCTACGAATATATATAGTGTTTTGTTGCATTAATAGGATAATCGTTTTAAATCTTTTTATTCTCTCTCTTGTAGATTTGTCGACAATATTGAAAATACATACTCAGTAATGATGTTAGCATTGATACTTAATTTTGCTATTGTATTTTGCCTCACCGGATTTTTATTTACTATTGTAAGATTCAGTAAACCAAATGTGAGAAAATATTCTATAACAGACATAGTACGCTTCTTTGCTTTCCTGTAATTTACATATTTCAGATATTTACTAACAAAAATATAGCTAATGGTGATGTCATACAAGGATACTTCTTACTATTACTTCTTGTTATATTATTGATGAATACTTTTCTGTATTGTGTAGCAGGAGAACTTATAACAGAGCAAGTAAGTTATACGTATAATGTGTGTAATAGTGTTCTGTCTATATAAACAAATTTATTATGTTTTATCCTTGGAAAAAATAATTTTTATATATCATATAAGAAAAATTTTTTGCGCTTATATTGTTATACAGGGTCTCCAAAAAGTCCGGAAACGGTTAAATACCTTGAAAACCAAGCATTTTTGAGAAAAATGTTTCAGACAAGAATTGTAGGGTTTAATATGATGTATTTACTGATCTAATTAGTTTGACCTTGGGTGTCGTCGCCAAGGTCAGATCCAGATCACGTAGAATTTTTTTAATGGAACCCTCTATTTTTTATTACATTTTCTCGTAGCTTACCTCGAGGGCTTTTCAAAACACTGTAATAAAATATTTTTCCATTAAGTATTTTTCAAGTTATAAGGCTCAAAAGTTACAGTATCGCCGGCATTACCCAAAGTGCACCACGTGGAGATTGCACGGTCGGATTTGCACCTCTTGTGTGTGTGTGTGGTGTGTGTGTGCGTGCGTGCGTGCGTGAGTGTGTGTGTGCGCGCGCGAGTGACAGTGACATACCTTTTAGATATTGGATTATTCCATTTCTTCAATTAATTAAATATTCGAAGTGTCTCCCTTCACCCACACGCGCGCGCGCGCGCGCATACACACCACACATACACAAAAGAGGTGTAAATCCGATCGTGCAACCTCCACGTGGTGCACTTTGGGTAATGTTAATGCCGGCAGTACTATAACTTTCGAGCCTTATAACTCGAAAAATACTTAATGGAAAAATATTTTATTATAGTGTTTTGAAAAGCTCTCGAGGTAAGCTACAAGAAAATATAATAAAAAGTAGGGGGTTTCTTTAAAAAAATTCTACGTGATCTTGATCTGACCTTGGCGACGACACCCAAGGTCAAACTGATTAGATCAGTAAGTATATCACATTAAACCCTACAATTCTTGTCTGAAACATTTTTCTCACAAATGCTTCGTTTTGAAGATATTCAACCGTTTCCGGACTTTTTGGAGACCTTGTATAATAATAAGTAGCATTATTGTTGTATAATATGTTTCTGTGTTTTTAATTCTTTTCTTTTTAAAAGTAACAAGAGATTAATTAATTTTCAATCAATTATTACTAATACGTTTGGAAATAATCTCATAGAAATCTCATTAATATTAATTTATTGCACACATTTATTAAGAGCAATGCAGTATATCGTGCAATATGCGATCTTGAATGGTACAAGTTGGAATCAAATAAGGCAAAAAGTCTTATTTTGTTAATGCTCCGAACTAAATATCCTTTTTATATCACTGCAGGAAAGATTTTTCCACTAACAATATCTACTTTTTGTAATGTAAGATTATTTATAATTCTATTATTTTAAATTTATCCGTCTGCTGTTTAAATATGTTTTACTTTTCATATAACTTCTCTCTCTCTCTCTCTCTCTCTCTCTCTCTGTTGTTGCACGCACGCACTATACATACATACATATATATATATATATACACTATTTATTATAACTTTATTTTATACTATATATATAGTATACTATTTTAGATAGAATTTTATATTTGTGTACTTATCTGCAATTTCATTTATAAATATAAATCAACATACTTTGTACTGTTTTTCATAAATTAAAATATTCTATATGTAGTATTTATTATTTCATTGTTTTTTGTTTTAAGTAAGATTTGATCGAGAGAAAAATGTGTAATATTTATCACATGTCGATTATGATAACTTTAACATTTGCTTGTAAACTACATAGATTACAAATTATAATTACAAATATTATTATAACATAAATTAATAACAACATATGTAATCGTTATCACATCTTTACACAATTAAATTTAAAAAAACGTAATACAATACAAATTTATAATAACACAAATTAAAATCATCGCCGTATCCTGATTTTTACATTTGCACCTACATAAAATCCATATTAGAAATATGTATATTCAGATATCAGGAAATAACAATAATAATTAATTTTTCGATATAAATAACAAGGCGACAAAGAGCCGACAATATTATAAAACAAAAAACTTTAATTTAGATGATAATAATAATATATATGGCTACAGACGTTTCGACTCCGATCTGGTCATTCTCAATGTTACAGTAAATAGAGATAAATTCGTTATAATCTATGAAGTGACTATTACAAAAATCGTTATCCTTCAAAAATTACTCCGTTTGTGTTCTTCATGCTTTGAATCAAAAAGAAAGTTCAATAGTTTGTTTATATAAAATTTAGTATTCTCATCTCGTTTATATCTGTTGGTACAAACGGACTTTCGAATTTTCGATTCAAAGCATGAAAAACACGGAGTAATTTTTGAAGGATACCGACTTTTGTAATAGTCATCTCATAGAGTATAACAAATTTATTTGTATTTACTGTAATCTGTAACATTGAGAATGATCAGATCGGAGTTGAAACGTCTAAAGCTACACATATTAATATTAATATCTAAATTAAAGTTTTTTATTTTGATATACTATCGACTTTTTGTCTCCTTGTTATATATATCGCTTTATACTTACAAAGCCTTACATTGATTAATATAATTAATTTTAGATATTAAAATCATCGATTGGCTATATATCATGTCTACTGACAAAACATGTCTGAAGATGAGATATATGTAAATATTCTACTACTACATAGACGTAAATAGTATGTTCATGATTATAATATTATATAGTAAAAAATTTCCTACATAGAAGAAACCTAGAAATTTATTGTTACCGTATGTAAAAAATAAAGTTATTCCTTGCCTATTATACAAATTGTTGTCTATTTTATATATTATTAAGTATTTTGAAATGTGATGGATATTTTCATTGCACAGGAATAATACAATAATGATTGAGAGAAAACCCCCCAGGAATCTGTAGTACGAAATTATAAAATAAATTTCTCTCTCTCTCTCTCTCTCTCTCTCTCTCTCTCTTTAATATTTATTTTTAAATTAGATTATATATAACGATAATGTGTGTTTCTTTAATTTTTAGTGCTATACGTGTCTTATTAAATCAACGTGGTAAGATGAATATAATTACGTCAGTGTATCTATGTATATATATATGTCAGTTTTATTATCTTACTTTGATTTTAGAAAAAGAAATGGTCAAATATATCTTATCTTCGATAAACAGAATAATATTAAACCGAATGAGACAATGCCACAGCGGTCTAAGCCGGATGCTTCTAAATAATTGTGTGTATGTAAGTTTATATACTACAAACATAATTCTTCGATTGCAAGATAAAATTTTTTCAGAATTGAAACGAAACACTGATAAATTATCGTAGTTATACCACAAGTCGAATTGACTAACAATTTAACAATTATTGATGTTGTTTACACATCTTTTATCGATCTTATTAATATTGCATAACTTATTAAAAACTGTAAATAATTAATTTTTTGCTGTGAAAAATATTACCTTAGCTGGGAGTCCAACCTGATTCTCTCACGTTCCGTGCGAGAAAAATATTAGAATAAATAGGACATAAATTGCGAAAAAATTGTCAGATCACTGAAAGCTACCATATATGATACATTATAAAATAACAATATTAAGACCGTGAAATTTCATCATTGGAAACACATTTGTGAAGTATGAATATACTTATAGCCTAAATTCTAAATAATATTACATTTCCTCACGATTATTGTAACAATTGATATATCCTTGAAAGAGACATTTGAAGATACGCATACTGCAATTTCATATTATCTTTTTCCTTAGTACAATTTTTGTGGCTATAGAAAGTCGTATTAAAAATATGATGGTGATATTTCCCGTTTCGCAGTAGATGCATATACGCAAAAGAGCAATATGCAACATAAAAAAACTTTTTACGTGAGTTCAGCGAACTTACTATGCGCGATATGCACTATCTTTTTTCTCATATTTTATTAGAATAGGCATAAACGCTTTTTATGACTTAAACATTAAAATAAAATTTTTTCTCACAATAATAGTACTTGTATAGTTAGGGATAGCATTCTTAATATTTAATGCCGTGTATTCCACATTTGACAACGCTGTCAAGTTTTTACATTTGTGTAGAGAGCATGCGTGATGATCATTCAACATCAAACCGTGAAAAGAATAAGATCTTCACGGTTTTAACCTTGTTTTCGACATGGACATTACAAAATCTCCGGGATACAGAGGTACTAATATCATCCTACATTATTATCCATGTTTAATGTATACAGTAAATAAGTTTATATAATTTTATATTGCAAAATTCTTGGGATGTTTCATTATTATCATTAACTCTTGTTCCATATAAACGTTATCATTCTCATGTTAATTTGCAATTATTTAATTCATCGCTTAATAATAATATTAATTAATAATATTTAATTAAATCGCTTATATCGTATAAAAACTTATTAGATTTCATGTGGGCAGTTAATTTACATCGTATTGGATTTGAAATGGTGGGCTTGTGGCCTAAACTCAACAAATGTACCGAAAAAAGTTTGTGGTCAGAAATTTGGGTTGCTATCATTTATATTTTATTAATATTTGTTTCTAATGTTCCAATGATATGTGCGGTTATAGAAGTTTGGGGTGACATGGTACTTGTAATAGATAATTTACATACAACGTTACCCCAACTGATAATATCAGTGAGATACGTCATAATACGATGGAAACAAACAGGTATGACCAGAATTATAATAAAACAAAATATTTAGTGTTATATACCATCACGTTGTTAAATAGTCGTACGATAAATAATTATATTACATTTACAAAAGTATATTGTAGATTATAATAAAAACTAGATATTATATATGATTTACTCTTACATATCAACATACATGAAAAAAAAAATTATGAAATGTTTACAATTTTCTTTCTCTTCGATGCGGTAGTTTACAAAAATAAATAGAGCAACATCCTAATAATTCAATATTTTAACGCCAAAGCAATGTTTATGTTTTATCTATAGTTATTTATATTTTTAAGTTCTATTGTCAATTATAAACATGATGGCGGAAGACTGGATAGCATTCAAGCAAGATAGAGAAAGAAACGTGATGATGAAACAAGCACAAACAGCACGATTAATTATGATAATTGGATATATTTTCATGGTAATAGCGATTCTCGCAGTAATCATTCCACCTTGTTTTGGCATTTCAGTGATATACGTAGCGAATCTCACCGGTGTGCGCAAAACATTACCGTTAAAGACGTATTTCTACAATACAGATAAGAGTCCGCAATTTGAATTAACATTTTTCATTCATAGCTTAACGACTTTTTTAGCAGGTTTCATTTACATGTGTGTAGATATTTTTCTAGTTTTTTTAATTCTTCACATTTGTGGCCAGTTGGAAAACTTTAGATGCCGATTAATTGATTTGGTATCTTGCAAAAATTTCAATGAAGTTTTACATAACATCGTAGAAACCCACATACGTCTTAACAGGTATGAATATTTACTATATATAGGTTTTAACGTAATTAATTTAGAAGCATCATTAAAAATATTTTTTTACACATCCATCTTAATTTTTGAACGTTAAAATTTTTTATCTACATTTATATATACACAAATATATATGTAACGAATTAATAAGGATAAATTTTTAATATTGGAATGAGATATAATGTACATTTTCTCTTTATTTTCTAATTCGGTGATTATATTCAATGAAAATACTTTATTAAGTTTCATTCTCAGTGCAGCTGTCAAAAGTATTCTTATTAAGGTATAATGTAAGAATTACTTTAATACTTGTGTACCTTTATAAAAATATGTAATTACGAATATATTATATGTATATCAAATAATATTCAATGGATGATAACCTACTCATTTTACATTTAGATTCATATTTAGATGTATGTATCTGCAAATATACATATCTATGTATACAGAGTGTTATTAGACGATAAAATCACCTATCAAGAGCAGGTAGAGTAGACCGAACTGAGTCGAAAAGTCTTACACCATTTTGCAGTTTACGCAATATTTAACGAAGTATTAAATCTTAATGTTAGCCGAACAAAAATGCGTTCGTCCGGTCTACTCTACTGCCAAGTATGTATGTACTACATAACTATACCCTTCAATCGCTCTTTACATGTGCGAGTCGCGTTGCGCGGGGATGGCCTGAGGCACGCCGTTCGAATTTAATTGTTCGCGACGATATGCGCGGCGCGGAGCGCTTCCCACTCCTAGCTAACGATAGCGACCTAGCGACGACGAATATTCGGCAGTCGTTAAGTATTGCGTAAACTGCAAAATGGTATGAGACTTTTCGATTCAGTTCGGTCTACTCTACCTGCTCTTGATAGGTAATTTAATCGATTAATGATACCTTGTATGTATTATAGTGTTTGTTGAATTAATACGATAATCGTTTTAAATCTTTTTATTCTTGTAGATTTGTCGACAATATTGAAAATACGTACTCAGTAATGATGTTAGTATTGGTATTTCATTTTGCTATTGTATTTTGCCTCACCGGATTTTTATTTACTATTGTAAGATTCTGTAAAACAAATGTGAGAAAACTTTCTATAGCAGACATAGTACGCTTCTTTGCTTTCCTGTAATTTACATATTTCAGATATTTACTAACAAAAATATAGCTAATGCTGATGTCGCACAAGGATACTTCTCACTATTACTTCTTGTTATCTTATTAATGAATACTTTTCTGTATTGTGTAGCAGGAGAGCTTGTAACAGAACAAGTAAGTTATACGTATAATGTGTGTAATAGTGTTGTATATAAACAAATTTGTTATGTTTTATTCTTGGAAAAAATAATTTTTACACATCGTATAAGAAAAATTTCTTTTGCTTCTATTATTATAATAAGTAGCATTATTGTTGTATATAATATGTTTCTGTGCTTTTAATTCTTTTCTTTTTACGAATAATAAGAGATTAATTAATTTTTAATGAATTATCACTAATACGTAGAAATAATCTCATAGAAATGGAATAAATATTAATTTATTATACACATTTATTAAGAGCAATGCAGTGTATCGTGCAATGTGCGATCTTGAATGGTACAAATTGGAATCAAATAAGGCAAAAAGTCTTATTTTGTTAATGATCCGAACTAAATATCCTTTTTATATCACTGCAGGAAAGATTTTTCCACTAACAATGTCTACATTTTGTAATGTAAGATTTTATTTATAATTCTATTATTTTAAATTTATCCGTCTGCTGTTTAAATGTTTTACTTTTCATATAACTTCTCTCTCTCTCTCTCTCTCTCTCTCTCTCTCTCT